GGGGGGGGGGGGGGGGTTGGAAGAATGGCGAAGTCGACGAACGAAGGATCGCGTCGATCGACTCATTATTTAATTATTAGAGATCTACTTATACCGCGTTAACAAAAAGATCACAAGGAATCGGGGGAAAAAAAATGAAAACGATATGACGCGCAACACCACCGGAAAAGTACGAGAGAGAAAACGGCAACGATGCGAATCGCTCGTCGATCGGTACTCGTCGTCGAGCGTTATTTTCCATTATTTCGTTTGTTATGCTTTACCTTCGTCATTTCTCGTTCGTTGCGAGCGCGCGAGAAGAGATGGACAGAATTTTTTAGCATCAAACTTTCTGGAAAAGTTACATTTTTATCAAAAGTTCCAGCGGCGCGAACGGTCGGGGCACGGTAGATCTTTGTCCCGCTCCAAGAAGATGGCCTTTGGCGACGTCCGTAAATTGCGTCGCTCTTTCAAAATCGCAGACCGAAGGGCCATTTTATTCCGCGATATAGTCTCGGACTATAGTCTCTTTAGGATTGATGAGGTAAAACGATCCTCCTGTCCGCAATTTTAAAAGAGTGACGCATTTTCGAGCGTCGCCCGAGGCGATCTTTTCGGAGGAGCAAACTTTTATTATTCCTTTGCTAGGTTTCAGAGTTCCACTTCCAATTTTCATCTGACGAAAGGAACGATCGTGTCGCTTGTTCGTTGCTCGAAATCGTAGGTAAGAATTTTGTCCATCTCCGATCGAAACGGGGTTTAGAAGGTGCATCGAACGAGTCGGGTTCGGAAAAAAGAAAACGGAAATCAGCCAGTGAGAACCTGTTTCAGTTTAACCATCTCGTTTACGAGTATTATTATCGCGTTGGTTTTGATTTGTCACGATCTACTTAGACCCGCTCGTTCCTCTCTCCTGGTACATTTTTAACAAGGGACAATTTCACGGCACTCCTCGTTACCGCGTCTCGCGATCCGGGTTATCGAGTTTCCGTGGTCACTCGGGGAATGTAAGCATAGATCGCCGATATATCCGTATGCCTTTTCCAGGGATTGTTTAATTTTTACGTCGACAGCGTAACAGTGTCACGCTGTCCTGCGCTCGCGATTAATCACCGCTATTAAAACGCGAAATAAATTCTTGCCCGTCGAAAAATACGCACCGAGCGCGTAAACGATAATCCAATCTTCCAGCGCCGCGTCGGAGCGACGGAAACATTATTCGCCGATGAAATAATAATTGGTTTATTATGTGTCGGCCAACGGTTGAACGTTCTCGCGTTTTATTCAGAGACAATCATTCGTTGAAAGCGTACATTAACGATCCGAGGCCGTAATTAGCGACTCGATTATTCGAATTTACAGAGATTCGTCATCGAACCCTGGAATTTCTGTATCTTACACCGTTGTAGTTTCGTATCATCGTACATAATTTAATCCAATTGAAAATTGATCGCTCCGCTATCTACGACAAATTTTCTTTGTCTTTCTTTTCGACTGTCTCGGAACGAATTATTTCGAATTTCTACGTTACACTCGTCGAGTTGCTAACAAGGCGTTATCGCCCCATAGGAAACGAAAAAGAGACGTAAAATGATAGGATTCTCTTTCGAGTAGTATGCTGGTACGGGTAGGAACACCGAACGAGAAAATAGTCGAGATCCGTTGAAGAACAATTTACGGAAACTCTGCTCGATAATATCGAGCAAAATTGAATTTAGAAGAGAATCTTGAACCCGACGACGAGAATAGTTACCTATTCGGTAGGGAGGAGAGAATTATACAAAACATCCGGTGAAACGATACAAGGAATATTTACTCGCAGGGATATCCAGGTTCGTTCGGCAAACACGCGAATGGGTACTGTTCAACCGAGATCGATGCCACCTTGAAAACTTTTGAAGGAGAGATTTGATGTTCGTAAAGGCTCGGAAATTCCGCGAACGCGTTGTAAACTAGGAATGAGAAGAGGTAAAGAGAAGGATCGTAAACTGTTGTAAACAAAGTGTAGATACGGACGGAATCCTGTTTATTGTTCTAACTCGTCGCGCACGATGTAACGATGTATCTTATTATTAACTATCATTATCGTCGCTATTAATTATTAATTATTATTAAGTATCTTCACGAGAGAGAGAGAGAGAGAGAGAGAGAGAGAGAGAGAGAGAGAGAGAG